AAAGAGTAAAGAGTGAAAAATTGAAGGGGGTCTGAATACTTTCCGTACCCACTGTATATATATATATATATATAATATATAATTCATGTTTTAATTTTTATATTGAATTGCAACAATTGTATTGCAAAATATTTAATATAAATATATAAATAAATAATTTTATTTATTCATAAATAATAATAAATATATAAAATGTGTATATTTTAAATAAATACAATATAATTTATTAATAAAGGGGGTACATCAAATTGCTTAATTTAAATAAATACTTATTTTACAGTGTATTCAAAATTATTTGAAAAGTAAAAATTAAAATTATCCATTGACACAGATGTTGGTAAATTTCACACTAGGCAAAATGAATACTTCACTGTTTATTGCTGATCATTTCAAAATAGCCAAATACTGACTTATAATGATTGGGGCGGGGCTACTGGCACATGTGGGCATGGTCACTCTAAAGAAATTACCCAACTTAATAAAAAAAAACTGGATTTTATTTCTTCCCATATCTTTAGTTGCCCATCTCGTATATCTGCACATTGGTGTTTTGCCATGTCTTTTAATGTGTGTGAGAAAAATAATAAAAAAGGATCAAGACAATATGAGCAAGAGAGAATATTGAATCTATTAAATGAACCGCACACAGTTCAGCCCTTCAGTTCTGATTTATGATGTACCATCTATCTTCATAAATGTCAGGTATCGCCCTCATTGCTCTGAGGCAAATGTGACATTCTGTTCCTCTGATTGTAAGGGAAAATATTAATAATGTGTATACATTTATAAGTGACAGAAATATGTGTGTACTGACCCTTGGCCCAGTATCTCCTTGATCACCCTACAACACAAACAGACAAGAAATGCAATTAGCAACACATGTGAACTCAAATACTAGATTTTTTGATATTCTGAAGAGGGTTTTTGACTGTGTGTGGATGATTGCTAAGGTGTCTGTGTGGTTGTTGCAATTTGTCCAAGCACACCAAAGGTGAAAAAGGTGTTGGAAATGAGATGAAATCTCACTGACAAACACTGCTTTTGATTTACATATAACAGCTTCCTGACCCACTAACAAAATCAGTTAGCTCATTTAATCAGCCTCAGTCATAACTTAATCTGGTTTACTATTTACTATCTATTTAAAGTAACATAACAAGAAAGCATATAAATAAAATCAGGGCAGAGAATGTGCATAACTCTGTTTACTAATCACTATAAATGATGCTCCATGTTTTTGTTTTGCTGTTCATATCTTTTTTTTCTTCACTGCAATCAGGAAAAGACTTCAAGACGGTCTTCATTTAACACAGGTTTCTTGTTTCTCTAATTTGATGCCTGACACGGTTTACATCCCCTCCAAAACATATGTTTGAAGACAAAAGCCAATGCAAATGAAATTTGTGAGTTGTTTTAGAAATCAGAAAACATCTGCTTGCTGGGAAACTGAGATCGGAAACAGAACGAACCGTTCTGTGTGTGCCGTACAATATTGAGGGGAAAAAAAGAGATATTAAATGTACCTTATCTCCTTTTGGTCCTGGCAGCCCCTGAAATAAATGAGTTGGGTGTAATGATTAGACAGATTGTCCAAAATGAAAAATTGATATGACAAAAGTCTAAAGGAAAATAGTTAAGCATAGTTCAAAAAAATACCACGTGAACCATAAGTCATTCACTAAGAGTCTTTAGTGTCTCAATGTCCTCTTTTTCAAAGTCATCTTTTTCCCAAATAAAAGTAAGGCAGCACCTCACATCTGCAGTAGATATAGCTGTATTCTTTGATCTTAAAAGTCATTTGCAAATAACATGATCAAAAGTCTGGGAATATGATGAACGTACAACTGACTGAACATAAAGAAGATGGTTTGAGTGAAACTATGTGAGTGGAAATGATAGGGAAGAGAGTCTATGGCAACATTCACACTACAAGACAAGTGCCAAATTCACATTTATTGCTCAAAACTTTCATTTTTATGAGCTTGTTCACATGACCTTCTCACTGTGACCCATATCAGACATTGGTCTGCACTGACAAGGCTTCTAAGCTGATCTACATGTGTAAAACACATTGCTTTGAAAAAAAAAAATAGAGGCATAATAGAGGCAATGCTAGTGAAGCTGATGCAAAGTGTATGTTGAATAATTATAGGCGGAGGAGGTGAAAAACGGGGAAATTGTAATAATGATGTAAAGGAATACTCCAATTAAAACATATTTTATTTTTTTAATCAATAGCAGTTTTAACTGTAAACTGTTTTAGTTGATATACACTGCCGTTCAAAAGTTTGGGATCAGTAAGATTTTTAATGCTAATCAAGGCTGTATTTATTTGATCAAAAATACAGAAAAAAGGTAATATTGTGAAATATTATTGCAATTCCAATACTATTTTAATATACTATTTATTTCTGTGACGCAGCACTGACTTTTTATCAGCCGTTACTCCAGTCTTCAGTGTCACATGATCCTTCAGAAATCATTATAATATGCTGATTTGTTGTCAGTGTTGATTCTGTTGTGCTGCTTAATATTTTTTGGAACCTGTGATACTTTTTTCTTTTATGAATAAAAAGTTAAAAAGAACAGAATTTATTCAAAATAGAAATCTTTTCTAACAATATAAGTCTTTTATCCATTTAACACATCCTTGCTGAATAAAAGTATTAATTTCTTTAAAAAAAGAAGAAAGAACAAATTTACTGACCCCAAACGTTTGAATAGTAGTGTATATTGTAACACAAAATTTATATTTTGAATAAACACTGTTCTTTTGAACTTTTTTTATTTATCAAAGAATCCTGAAAAAAAGATCACAGGTCCTAAAAATATTAAGCAGTACAACTGTTTCCAACATTGATTAAAAATCAGCATATTAGATATATTAGATTTCTGAAGGATCATGTGACACTGAAGACTGGAGTAATGATGCTGAAAATTCAGCTTTGCTTCACAGGAATAAATTACATTTTAGCATAGAATAGAATAGATAATGGTTAAATTGCAATAATATTTCACAAAATTAAATTTTTTTCGGTATTTTTGATCAAATAGATACAGTCTTGATGAGCATAAGAAACTTCTTTAAAAAAACATTAATACAAATCTTACTGGTCCCAAACTTTTGTATCTAAAAAGTGAGTATAATTTTCTCAAAAACCTCATAAATAATAAATAGCTTTAATGAATTAATTTGTGTTTGTTTGGGTGGAATAAAATTGAAAACGTTAAATTGCTATAATCACTGTTAACACTGAAGTCACATTGTAGAAACAACATTTTCAGCCTGAATGAGACCTACAGTATGACCACATTTGGCATTCTTTCATGCGAGTCAAAACAAAACAACTGTCTTTCACAGGAAGCCACAGATGAATGGCATTTTGAGGTGGTCTGCTTTCCAGAAGAAGTGGTTTACATTACATTGGACAAATGGGCTTTCCTTTGGCAGCGCTAAAGAGCACGACAGGGTTCATAAACGACCGCCTATCTGCAACAGCACAAGCTAACAATGAGGAATTCTCTCCTTTTGGTGTGTAATCCATTATTTCCATCTCATTTGCGGATAGACATACAAGGTAAAAGACACTTTGTGGTGTGTGACCCCCAATCTGAGGTGATAAATGGCTTGAAAACTTAAATAGAGTTTAATCCCCCTGATGCCATGCAAATATAAAACCATGATTCCTTATGTACACAGTATGAATGAACAACTTTCAAATGTGTGTAAGGGTTTGTAACTTCCATAAACTTACTGAATGAAGCAGCACTTATTTATTTATAATATAAGATGATAACCTTCATGGCACAGTAGAGATTTGAAATTGTATTTACCTGGCTTCCTTTAGGTCCAGGAATACCCTGCAAATAAACAAATCAATCACTATATTTCTATTCAAAAAGAGCTTAGGAGAGCCAAGTCTTTATGATATTGTGGTCTCTAATCATGATTCAGGTCCCTCTTTCAATGTAAGTCTATGTCATTTTTTTCAACCGTCAAAAATTATAATTCTGATTGCTTATAAAAGTCACACAATTGAGGCATCATTTATATTCGCAATATAAACAGAGATTTGCAGACTTTGTCAATGGGGTGGTATAAGGTACAAAAGCTAAAAGGCACATCTTTGTACCTTATTTACCCCTAAATGGTACATATTAGTACCTAAAATGTACATATGTGACCCTGGACCACAAAACCAGTCTTAAGTGTCAATTTTTCGAAATTGAGATTTATACATCATCCGAAAGCTGAATAAATAAGCTTTCCATTGATGTATGGTTTGTTAGGATAGGACAATATTTGTCCGAGATACAACTATTTGAATATCTGGAATCTGAGGGTGCAAAAAAATCAAAATATTGAGAAAATCGCCTTTAAATTTGTCCAAATGAAGTTCTTAGCCATGCATATTACTAATCCAAACTGAAGTTTTGATATATTTACGGTAGGAAATTTACAAAATATTTTCATGGAAAATGATCTTTAGTTAATATCCTAATGATTTTTGGCATAAAAGAAAAATCGATAATTTTGACCCATACAATGTATTTTTGGCTATTGCTACAATTATACCCATGCAACTTAAGACTGGTTTTCTGGTCCAGGGTCACATATGAGCACCTTTTGAAAGGAAACCACCTCAGTGACAGTTTTGTACCTTTTTTCTGAGAGTGTAATGGTTAGTGTTTATGAGCAATAAAAACATAAGTAACAATAAGCTTATGTAATTAAATGAAAGAAGCATCAACTTTGAGGCTGCTTCAGTCACAAGCTTCTTCCAAAGTAACTTAAACCATTTGAAAGCCAACTGTCACTCAAAAATTCACATACTACCTTGGAAAGACAATGTCCAGTAATGTGAGAATCCAGAACCTGTTTTCCAAACACACACACACACACACACACATTCTCATCTCGTCTCTTTAAAGCTCGGGAATACTCACAGGTTTGCCATCCAGACCGAGTGGACCCTGAACAGTGGAAAAAGAGAAAAACAGATGATTAAACCCCAGAAGTCCACCAGACAGCCAGTCATAAAAAGGGAAAGTGCAGATAGACTCTGAAGGGAAGTGTGAGGGGTAAATCAAAAGATGAAGATCAGGAGAGAAATATAGAATGAAATGAAAATGATCATGTTGGGCCATGATGTCATTCCTCTGTTCTTAAGAAGAGGACTGGAGTCAGACCAGTTTCTTTTGACTTACTGTATAACCTAAAATCTTGTTATTGAAACCAATACCACCAGTGAGCACGAATGCTAAATTCAAGATTAGTACTGTCATATTAATCAAGTATGTTCACGCACCAGACAGTTTTCATAAAAACGGACTTAAAGACTTACAAAAGATTCAAATGCAAGAATAGTCAATGATCTAGAAAAATAGTTGGGCATGTCTAGCCTGGGCTTCTTCATGTGTTTTATTCGTAATACTGGACAGATGTGTGCATTATACATATGGCTAGAAATAAAACATAATCTAATTGTCAGAAGTAATTTCAATATTTAACAAATAAAATTCACAGTAGTCAATTTATCATGTTTTAAAATCAGTTTTAGTCAGACCAGGTAATTAAAAGCTGTGCAGATGTCCAAAATAGAAAGGATGTGCCAAATTGGCAGTATAAAAGAGGTTTTATTACTTTTATTTTATAGAAAGCTTCATAGACTGTGTGGGACTGTAACGGGAGCAATCTAGTTTCTAGTGTCCAGAATGGACACTCATCTGAGCAGTCATGCAAAAGGTGACCTTACAGGATTTATTTTTGTTCAGAAGGCGTGATGTCAAAGGTTAAAAGCCCAATTTAAAAGTGTCATGAAGCACCAAGACTTGTTCTAAAACTAGCAGTGTCAGATAAATCGCATACTTTTGAATGAAGTGTGGGAGGTCATCAAAATGCCAGAGACCTTTGAACTTTAACACATATATCTGTACAATTTCAGGCCCTTTTCTGTTGTCCCAAAAGCTAGTTGAACCCTAGTAACAATCCCACGTCAAAAATGCACCTTCAGTTTATTTCCAGCTATTTTTGTGTGTGTTAAGGTAGAAAAGAGGGAACATGTTATCCCAAAACAATGCATAAACAAAGTTTTGGAAA